CCAGGGCTGAGCCCCCTTGGGAGCAGCAGTTAGAAAAGGGGTGTAAACATTGAACAGAAAGAGTGGACACCTAAACCCTTTGGTCCCAGGCAAACCCTATAGAAAGGAGATGGAGAGTTGGGGTGGGGTACCCTGTCCTTGGTGAGGGGCTGGGGGGGGTGAGAGGGGTATAGGGCGATGGGGGGGGGGGCTCCTGGCTGTGGGTGGGACCCTGTGCTCCTGCCCCCCCCTCCTCCTCCAGACACACACACCACAGATCACACAAATGGAGGTTAATGGGGAATAGGGGAGGGGTCCTTGGGCTTGGAGAGGGGAGGGGGGAAGGTTTTTCTTGTGCCAAGGAGGTCCCGTGGGCTGCGGAGGTGGGTGCCCCCAGCCCATGGGATGTGAGTGCCCCTCACCCCCACCCTGGCACCAAGGGTGGGACACGGGGCAGGGAAGACAGGAGTGGGGCTGGGGGTTGCTCCCTGCCCTCCAGCCCCAGTGATGTCGCCGCCTGCTGGGGGGGATCCTCAGCCCCCATAGCCCTTTCGGGGTGCGGGGCACAGCTGCCCCATTTATGTACAGCTCTATCTACATATGTACAAGGGATGGGGACGACGTGCCGTCACCTGAGCCCCCCCCCAGCCCAGAGCTTTCCTTACGCCCCTCAACGAGGCGGGGGGGGCCAGGTGGGGTCTTTGGGATCCCTCCACCTCCGCTGGGGAAGGGGCAGCTCTGCCCCGTCGCCCAGGTTGGGGTGCAGCCCTGCAGCCCCGTGGGTGTGGGATGGCGGCGCTCTGTGCTTTCTCGCAGCCAAAGGAGGGACGGGGTGCGGGGGGAGGGTCCTCCGCTGCACCCGCATCCCCCTCCCCATAGGCAGGAGCCGCCCGTTGTGGCCTCTCTTATGGCTTATACACGGCTGGGGATGCCGTGGGGCTGCAGGTGGAGGGCGGGGGGGGGGGAGGGGAGGAGGGGCGTGATTTAAGTGCTGCCCTCCTCGGCCGAGCGCGTGTCGGATTTGAGCTTGACGAACTCCTTGGCCACCTCGTCGTTGTTGCGCTGGGACAGGATGCGCAGCACGGTCAGCCCCGTGTCGTCCATGTGGATGCGGCGGCCGAGGGGCAGCCAGCAGGCGCAGCCCCCCCGCTGCAGGAGGTCGCGCAGCTGCAGCACGGCGATGCCCACCGTGCGGTCCTCGCGGGCGAAGCAGTAATCCTTCACGCACACCTGCAGCTCGTAGCACTCGGGACCCGTCTCTGTCCCCAGGGTGCTGTGGGTTGGGGATGAGAGATGGGCGGCGCTGGCATGGAGGGGCTTTGGGACAGCGTTGCGGCCCCCCCTAAGTTGTATTTTTTCCCCGCTTCCTGCTGCTGTCCCCATGTTCCAATGTCCCCAGAATCCTGAGCTCCCCAGCATCCCCGTGTCCCCACATCCGCGGTGACCGCACGTCTCCACTGTCCCCAAACCCTGGCACCCCCCTATCCCCAGTGTCCCATAACCCCAGCATCCCCACATCCCGATATCCTCAGCATCCCTATGTCTCCTGGTGCCCCCAGTGTCTCATGTCCCAAGCATCCCCATGTCTCCAGCGTCCCCACATCCCTAATGTCTCCATCTCCCAGCACCTGCATTGTCCCCGTGCCCCCAGGGGACCCCATGTCCTCAGCACCCCCACATCTCCAGCATCCCCATGATACTGGGGGATAGAGTATCCCCTACATCCCCACTGTCCCCACCTCCCCAATGTCCCCGTGTCCTCGATGTCCCTGTGCCCCCAGCATCCCCCCGCATCCCCAGCCCTGCCTCCCACAGGTGCCACTCACAACTGGAAGCTCTCGTTGTACTTGGGGGCCCAGCTGTTGTTCTTGGACTTGGTGGCAAATTTCCTCTTCTTGTCACTCAGGTGGGGGCCGATGATGTTGACCTCAATGAAGGGCCGGAAGATGCCCGACGTCTGCCACTTCAGGTCATTGGCAGCCACCACTGTGCCAAGAGGGCGCGTGAGTTTGGTGGGGTGTCACCACCCCCCGGTCCCCTCTAGGTCCCCCCATGCCCACCTTTCACAGTGACTTTGTGTTCGCCGGTGCCGGGGTGGGTGAAGAGCTCCACGTGGATGGACACCTCCCCAACGGGGTCCTCCACACCAGATCCTGCGTGGCCGAGGGGGCAGGGTGAGTGCCAGCCCTTGGTGCTGTCCCCTCTTGTCCCCTGTTGTCCCCTGCCCGCCTCCAAGCCCTCTGCAGTGGGGCAGGCGCTGAGGGGACAGCGGGGGGTTCAGCACCGCGTGTGCCCCAGTGTGACCCCGTGGGGAGATGGGGGGCAGCCACCACTGGGGACAGCTGGGGCTGGCAGCAGGGACACTGCCGTCCCCTCCCCATCAGTGGGTCCCAAACCCCTTCCCCTCCTCATCCAAGAGTGCCTGAGGGGATGGGGTGGGACCCCAAAGGGGATGTGCTCAGTGTAACCCTGTGCCACCACCAAAGCTATGGGGCTGCCCCACAAAAAGGGGGAACTCGGTGACCTGCAACCCCCCCACGTCAAGCTGTGCATGCACCCATGGGTGAAGGAGGGTGGGGGGCAACGCAGGCTCAGGACATTCAACAGGAGGAGGACGTCCCCACGTGTTCCAGCATGGCACGGGGAGGGGGGGGGGCACAACCACACTCCATCCTCTGCCCCCACCCGGCACCCCGTCCCCATGGGCAGTGCCATGCTGAGCCAGAATGGAGTGATGGAGGGGGGTCTGAGTGCAGGAGGCCAAGCAGGGGGTCAAGCAGACCCATCCCCCCCCCCCCCCCCCCCCAAAAAAAAAGCCTGAAGGTGTGCAGGAGGCCAAGCAGGGCCCACAGGGGAGGCTGTGCTCATTCCTCGAGGCGGTAATGGTCCTTATGGCAATAAGGTGGGGGGACATGGGTTGTGTGTGCCCCCCCCGCAGCAGCACCAGGGTGCCCTGAGCTCACAGCCCAGCCCCAAGCTGTGGGGATGGGGAAGGGGTCAATGCCCCCCCAACTCCCCCCCAGTTCAGCCCAAAGCAGCCCTGTGAGGCTGGGGGAGGCACATCTCAGGGGAGAGGCAGAGGGGTGCTGGGGGTGAGCAGTGCACGTACCCTTCTCAGGATAAATCTCTTCACTAAGGGTAAACCTAACACCTTTTCCACCATGGACTATTGGGCAGGAGAGAGAGAAAGAGACGAGACACAGCACAGAGCGGACAGAGAGAGGAGGGAGACAGCGTGTGTGGGGGGGGGGGATAGCAAAAATGAGGGGGCGGGGGAGGAACAGAAAGAGAGAGAAAGAGAGATCAGCACTGGCGGACGACACTGCGGCGACACGGAGCACCCAGGGGGGCTGGGGGGACCCACAGGACAGACGGACTGACGGACGTCCTGGTGTGGGGAGGGGGACGCACAGACAGACCTGGTGCTGGGGAGGGGGCACTGAGCTCCCCGTGGCCCCATTCATCCACAGAGCGCACAGCAGGGAGGGCCCACGCCATCCTCACACCCACGGCCCTACGGACCCCCGCGCTCCAGCCCCACTGGGGGCACGGTTACGGGTTGGGGGGTGGGATGTTGGGGGTGGGGGGCGGGGGGGTCATACCTTGTGATGTCTGTGTCTGCACAAAGGTTTTGATGAGCAGGTCGGTGGCTTGGGTGTACAGGGACAGCGCGTAGCGCAGCGACTGCAGGTCGGGGCTCTTCTCCAGGAAGGTCTTCTTCAGCCCCACGCCGCCAGCGTGGAAGTATTGCTGTGGGGGGGGGGAAGAGTTGTGGGGCAGGGGGGGCTCAGCGTGGTGTTCCCATAGGGACAGTGCTGTCCCCATCCACCCCACAGTGCCCTCACCTTGATGGTGTCCAACGCCAGCTCCACCACCGCGCACTGCTTGGGGGTCAGGCTCTTGGCTTCCTCCCTCACCATGTGGTCCTGAGGGGGGCACAAAGGCTCAGAGTGGGGACGTTGTGGGGCCGTCACCTCACCCCACATTGAAAGGGGACCTCGGAGAGCCCACCTTCAGCTTGGAGAGCTGCCCCAGCTCCTTGGCCGCGTTGAAGATCATCTGCGTGCCCTGCAGAGAACGGAGAGAAGGGGATGGAGAGAGTGAGCGGCCAGGTTGTGTGTGGGGGGGGTTGCAGTGCCTGGGGGCTCCCGGCCCCCAAATTCAGTGGGGCTCCTCTGAGCCCTTTGGGTATCCCCAGGAGCTGAGCACTCATGGCACAGCGACAGGGCTTGGGGACAGCAGGACAGGGTGACGCTTTGGCAGCGGTGACCCCATGTCCCTGCTCGGTGTCCCCCAGGAGTGGGGCAAAGGGACAAAGTTTGGGGACGGCGCTGGCACCTGGCACAGTTCCCCTGTGCTCCATGGTGCATTTGTGCCCCCCTAACCCCAACCCCAGGGGGTTCCAGACCCTGGGACACCCCCAGGGGACACCATGGCTGGGTGTCAGCAGTCCCCACAGTGCCCCACATTGTGCCGCCTCCACGTGCGGGGACACAAAGCCCCGTTGACACGACCCCAAGGAGTGCAGCCCCACAGCATGGGGGCCACCCCACAAAAGCTGAGCTGCAGCTCCATTCCAGTGAGTCATGGGGCAAACTGGGGCAGAGCCACGACCATCAGCTCCCCCCCCCC